GGGGGGTCTCACCAGAGCAGAGTAGAGGTCCTTCCCACCCGAGCTCCCCAACAAACCCTCCTCCCGCCAAGCTGCTGACCTTTTGCTGGCGGCTGGAGGGTAACTGCTTGATAAATAATAAATGGCTCACCCCAGGCTCTTGCCCAGAACCTTTTAATTAAAGCAGTTGAGTTACTCTAAGGTCACGGTGATCGGCGTTTCAAGCCCAGCCCAGCAAATACATCCATCAAACAAACACAGAACTCTGGTCTTAATTGTGTTTTCTCCTAATTGCACCAAACACTTAAGCTCACATCCTTTACCCAACAGGTTCCCCATTACCCACCAGACGTAACAAACCCGCGGCGCAGAAGAACATCTCTAACTGCCTCCCCACCCAGTGCCACTCGGCTGGAAGCCTCCCCACCGCTGCAGCCAGCCGACAGCCTGCCCGAGCCCTGAAGGCCGGCTCTGCCCCGCGAGCTTCCAAGAAATAATTTCCTGATTTACACCATGTGAGGGCTCCCACCCTCCCCTGCTGCCTCGCTGAAAGCGTATGCTCCTTTATGTATTTCCAGGTTTTCCCGCTAATTTGGCCACGTACCTGCTTCAGAGTAATAGCATGCGCGTGTCAGTGAAGTACACAGCTGCTTTATGCAGGAGTTTGGCAAGGCGTGGAACACAACTACACCCTCCCATCCAACAGCCAGGTCACACCGCCGCTGCACTTTCCAAGTCACAGTTTGGCTTCCCGGGCGTGCCAGGTTTGGGCCATGCACAGAAGGGCAAGTTGCAATAGACCTCTGACATGCCATCATGAAAACTAATGGTTAAGAAGCTGGACATCATTTCAGATGTAGGAGGGGAAGGAGAAACCCTGAGGGGTCTCTTACTCCCACCCCTCAGGCCACAGCTGCACCTGAGGGTAAATCCGACCGCTCCCCCGCCGAGCCCATTGCAGAACGGCTGGTCCAGCTGGGAGTGCTCTGCTCGGGGGAGCCACCCCAGTGACTTTTTCCAACACAAAATAAAAGAGAAAATTAATTCCAACTTTCTTCTTGTCTGCACAGGAACTCAGGGCACACTGCAAGGCTGCTGCTCTAGTCTGTGTTCTAAATTTAATATATTACTGCTCAATATGCTTCAGATGACTAAAGGAAGACACAGCCAAACCCAGTGAAGATGCAAGGATGAAGCTAGTTACAGCAGATGATAGTGGAAAAAGCTCTTTAAGTAGTGTTGGCAATTTTTTAGAGAAGTGACAACAAACAGGAGACCACCGAGCCGTGAATGAAGCGAGCGAGAAATCTCCCATGTGTTATTGCATTCAACTTCATAGCGCTTCTCCTTTTAAAGTACTTCCAGTTGCAATTTTTGGCAAGCTAAGAGCATCAACAGTTAAAAATGCAAAACAGCATACTCAAAATAAAATTTTTACCTGTAAAAATCCATGAAAGACACAAAGCTGCAGCGCAGGAGACACGGAGCTGTTGGTCCCTCTTCCCTTGGGCTGGCGATAATCATTTGGCCCAAGCAAGACAACCAGGCACAAGGAGGGAAACTCACATCCCAGCTGCCAGATTTCCTAAGGAGGGCAGCTCGCCCTGGTCCTCCGCCGAAGGGGAGAGCGCTGCGACTGCGGGAAACCCCCATCCAAAGGCTGGCTGCTTGCTACCATTTACCCTCGGCACACCTCTCCTCTCCAGCGCTGCTTCAGACTGAACCCCATTTTAACGGATTTTTGTCATCTGTTTACATTAACATTTCTCCTACTTGACCCAGCACAGTAGTTCTGAAACTTGGATACTGGAGGTGGGTGCATCCATTATATTCACTGCTGTACGGGGCTGCCAGGTACGGATTTAGTGAGTCAGGCAGGAATTCCTGCTCCACGCGGAAGAACCTTGCTCAGGCAGGCGTATGTGCCAGCAAGGTCAGCTCTAGAAACAGATCCTCCAGAGTCACAGCCGCAGCAGTGCTAAGACAGAGGGCTTTTCGCTCTTTGCAACAAAATCTTGCACTCCTCTGGAATTACAGAGCAGAACTGGGAATAAAGTTTGACCTTCCAAGGACAATGGAGTAATTCTACTGTACCTACACTGCTACCAGGAAGTGAATCACACCACACAAAAACAAACCACGGGCATTTTTAAATCCTCCTTTTTACTGCCATACAACACAGATTCATAAGAGGGTTTTCTTGCATCACCCACAGCAGCAGTGTCACAAAATTGCATTGTGGAGAATGTGTCTAGTAGGTAGGTACGAAACCAAAAGGAAATCCCCCCTTTTTTCTTGTAGGGGAGAGCCGGACCAGGAGAGAGAGATTTGTTTGACATAATTTTACACCTGTTCGTTTGTGGTGGTAGTTTGCTTTTTTAAAAAGAAAACACAAACAAAAAAAGGAAAAAAAAATGGTAATTGTTTGTCATGTAGCCCAAAGCCAAAATCTTTAATAAAAAATAAGCTAGGCCCTGGAGTTCACAGGCATGGGAAGAATGAAATTCTGATCGGCTCTGAATCCTAGTTTGATTGATCGCTATTTTCTTACATTGTTCTGTACCAAAGTTTCCGTGACTAGTTCCGTAAGAGCGCTCAACTTTCTCTTCAGCAAACAGCTGTAACATTGTATCTTTCACACTTCTGAGGTGACCAATTTCATTGTCACTAAAAAACTGCAAAGGTCCAAATTACCTGGTATTGTTACATTTTATCCTATTCTGAATTTAAGCAAATGATGGAATAGGAAGAGCATATTATCATGTTTATATAAATAGCAACTCTTCTCAATTAGCTATAAAAAGATGACACTTGAGACGGCTGTTACAATGCGTCAGGCAAGCGGTGTCTGCCATTTCAACAGCAGGACTGTCACAAGGCCTGTACCACTGAGCGCAAGAAGTTAAGAAACGTCTTTACTACTGGAAATAAGACACCTGAAGAGACAGAACTACCAATTTTTAAAGAAAATGTTTAATTTTCCACTTTTATACTCATCTTCTGCAACTCGCAATTTGAGATAACATTCTTGAACCTCAAAAAAGGGGATTATCTCCGATTTTATAAATGGGGAAATGGAAGAACAAGAACCTGTGCCCCACACGTGATGACGGAAGGCACTAGAGCCGGATAACCAAGGCATATTCCCCCTAAGAAAACGTCTCACAACCATGAGATTGTGGAGGCAGAAATGCCGGCTCCTGAGCAGGAGAGTGCCACAGCCAGGGCACATCCTATGCTGAGCGCTACAGGACAGCAGCGCAGCTGTTAGGAGGATAAGGGATCTTCCTTCTGCGTTTCCGCCAGCTCTGGCGTCTGCTCCCCCTGATCTTTCTTCTTTTCCTGTATCTCTTCCAACACAGTTTGAAGCTGCTGGTGTAATACAGAATCCCTGGTTTCAATATCCTGATGATCCTGTTGTGCTACCTACAGTTAAAGACAGACGATCACCAAAAAACAGGGTCGTAAAAAGTTTCTGTCGACACATGACTGAAGAGAGCAATAGAAATCAACGGCGCCAGTTTGTATGTCCAAAAAAAGCTGATAAAAAGTTCTAACTGATGCTGAGATTATTTTGAAGGTACAATACAGCGTCAAGGTATCGCCAGGGCAAGAAATTTAAAATGAGACTGCCGACCTCAAGCTAAAAGATGAAAGAAAGTCAGTGATTCCATCTTTTCACATGCTCACTGGACAGTGCACTTTAAACAGAACCAATTTCTGTTCCTCTTCAGCTTCTTTTACTGGGGAAAGCATTACGGACACTCGGCCCAGAGATCACTGGATAATGGGGAGAATGGAGAGCATATTACAAAAAAGAGTAATAAATTAATTTAGCTAACAGTTTAAAACTGCAGCTTTTATAAACATCTCTTCTCCCTTCTGTTTGAGTGTTCAACTAAAAGGACAGCATTCTCAGAAGAAATGGTAATCAATTAGTCATGAACGAGGTAAAAGATTTCTAAGCGTTATAGAGCAGCCATGTTCTACTCTACCTGACGTGCTGTTCTAGAAGCATCTTCAGTTTGATTTTTTACCCCAGTTTTTGTTAAGAGTTACATGACAATTGCCAGAAGTAACGAGGAAGTAGACCCCACATGCCCAGGAGCCATTTCCCATCTTGTACATGAAGGAAAACAAAAAGCAGTGGCAGGACTGCTTTTGGACAGTTAATTTCTTGGCAAAAATGTAAGTAAACAACCCCCAGATTACAAAACTTTATTTCAATACTTTAAAAACAAACAAACAAACAAAAAAACACCAAAAAAACCCCTGCAGATTTGTGCAAAAATTTTCCAGTTCAGGATCGAGATTGAAGAACAAGAGTGAGAGTGCATTGGACTACTCAACTATTAAAAAGGGATGCAAAAGTGTGTTAGTCATCTTCGAACCCGAAGAGTTTCCAATTTATCCCCTGCTACCTTATAGAGATAACATGTATACGGTAACACGTATACATATTTCCAAATGGTTTATATAGAAACACCGACGGATGATTTGAAAACACTGAAGACTTAATCTTTCATCACTAAAACAAGCAGATCTCTTTTCTGTCCCACAAGAAGTACCATAACCTTGGTCAGTCACGTTCATGACTAAGAAAAGTTTACTCTGCACGACAAAGACATTTCATTGCCACCATCAGATGCGTGACTGTCTTACTGAGAATTTAATTCAGACTAACTCAACATTAAGGGCCTGGAAGTGAAGTTTTCTGAATCCACCAGCCAAGTAACTCTGTGAATACTTAATACTTACTTTATCTGTTCCTCTTCTCTGTAAAATTATCCCACTGGCTAAAAGGGCTTTTCCTGTTTCTTCAAACAATTTTTCCTCTTCAGTTTTCCCTTCTTCTTTCAATTCATTGAATTTCTCAACAAACCTAGATTTCAAGGTCGTATTTTTACTCTCACAAATAACGTTTTGGTTCACTGACTTAAGAGGAGAAAGGGACAAGTTTCAGAAATATTTCTAGTTTAATTATAAATTCATCTTACCTCTGGCAAGTAGATTTGTAGTTTGATTGCGACAAGTCGAAAGGTCTTGGACCGCTGCCATAAATTCTGTAAAATCTCCTATTCAAAAAACAAAAGTGTTTCATTTTTCAAATCATCAAAAAGGACATGTCTTGAGGTAAATAAAGAACATCAGAGTCAGTTAATTTAGGCTACAACAAAAAGCATTCACAGAACTATTTCTCCTTTTTCCATTAGCTGTTATCACAGAGATATCCCTTCTGGAATTTTTTAACTGTTTTCATAAATTCTAGTTAATCTCCACCACCAGCGGTGAGGCAGAGGAGCGCTGTAACTTCTTCACAGAGGGTTTAAGTTAGCCCACCCTGGCCACCCAAGGCGGCTTACAGGAGCTCTGTGTGGTACAGGCCTTTTCTATTGCCCTCCGCCCGAAGCCGTGCCATTTGCACCTCCGCTAGCGGTTATAAATACATGGGAGACAGCAC